ATAATTATAATAACTTATTTTCAGATTTTAGATAAAGAAGTGTAATAAGTGTAAAGCAGACAAGAGCCATTTGATGACTCCGTGGCGCAGTTGCCAAGGTATTGGCTTCGGCGTCGGGGGTCGTGGGTTCGATTCCCACACGGGACAACTATTTGTGTGACCCCACAGACAGTTGTTTCGCAGTGTTTGTCCGCGTGAAACTTATGTTTGTAAAACGTCCCTACAACACAGGATAATGTTATCCCAAAGTAAATGTTTAAAAAAAATAATAAAAAGGGCCATTAAGAAAATGACGACAGTATGGTGAAATAAGTAATTTAATTTAAAATTCGAGACCACTACGCTTGCTCTAGACTAGCCTTGCCAGGACAAAGGACTTGTTTACCTTACGTGGATCCTGTGTAATAGCCTGTGTAGTAGCTTGATAGGTGTCTTGCGTCTAAATAATTGACTTGTGGCTTAGCTTTTACTACGAACGCCCATGTAAACAGCTTTAAATAAGAATAAACTATATTGATAACGTTATTATAAATAACCGCGTGTACTGACTGCATTTACTTGTAAAACTTTCAGATAAATATTACTTATTGATACATGAGATTTCATTTTTTTGCAAAAAGTCTGAGGCCGAGTATTAAGTTGCGCGGCAATATCTTATTATATATATATTTATATATATTTATATATATTTACAAACATAAGTTTCACGCGGACAAACACCCAGATGCGAAACAACTACCTGTGGTTCACACAAATAGTTGTCCCATGTTGGAATCGAGCCCACGACCCGCGACGCCGAAGCCAATACCTTGGCAACTGCGCCACGGAGTCATCAAAATATATATAAGGACGTATACATATGTAAAGAAGTAAGGTGGGCTTTGCCCAGGAGTAGAAAAAGGCAAGCTCTCGTGACATGCATATATTAGGGCCGGAATCAAAATTATCGGCTTTACGTAATAAGACGTCGTTATAGTACGATTGCATTGCCATCATGTTTTTATAATCCGGGCGATACAGGGAGCGCGGGAAAACTAATAATGCCCCGGGGACCCATCCCTAAGTGCTCGGTCAACTTGTGCACGCAACCGCCCAGGAGCCGTTGACAACGTAGCTATACCAGTAAAAGGGTACTTTCAAAGATATATAAGTCACTAAGACTAGAGCGATAGAGAATGTTTCACATCTGCCTTCTTTTACCCGTCGTCGTACAGTCCTTCGACGCGTCTATTTGTTCCGACTAATATGCCAAAAAGTACACGTGATAGTTCATTATGCGCGATATTCTCAGTCATTATTTTAACTTAATTGTCAGTACTGTTTTATGACCAATACTGTTTCGTTCAAGTATTTGAAATGCAGCTTTCTGATGCATAAAAATATGTAATTAAGTAATAGAAGACAAATAAAATATGTCTTTTTTCGCAAACGTGTATCCAATGTGTCATACACGGCATGAGCTGACGTACAACGGCAAACAAAAAAATATAGAACAGTACCGAATGAGTAAGTAACCAATATTTACTCATTCGGTACTGTTCTACAAGCAACGGAGAGCGCATACCGAATTTGACTCTATAGTTAAAATTGTTTTTAATATCGTACGTCCGTAACCGTTATCTCTCTATATATAACTGTGGTAGGGCCACGCACCAGTCTTCGCTGTTGCACGAATGGGCAGGTCCGGCCGGGTAAGTACCACGAACACAGAAGATCGGCGTAAAGTAGAACTGTTACACTTCAGCGTTTCGTCTGATGAGTGAGGTAGCCCGGACCCGCTTTATCAAAAGGTGGCAACGCATTTGCGGATGTTGCGACTGTTCATGGGCGGCGGTTATCACTTAACATCATGTAACCGCCAGCTCGCTTGCCATCTTTTTACATAAAAATATCCTGCTATATAATACAATCCATTGTTGTGAAACAATAAAAATTCTCCTGCGATAACAGGAGGCGATCTAATTCCATTCGCGGTCAATTTGTCGCGGGCATAACAAGTTAAATGGAACCCACAGAATAGACTCCTGAACTTTCCATCTATTAATAGGACCGATGCACTTATGGATGAAAGCTGAAAACATTTCTTTATGCGGAGAGTTGAATTTGTTTTTATTTTGCATTCGAATGTTCACTTAGCGGGGCACGAATATACCGCATTTTATGACTGTCAGTTAAAAGTTCGGACCGCTACGGTAGAGGCGGCTCCGGTTTATTTTTAATGGATTCCTGCTTTGGAATCGCATTGTGGCGATTTTCGCGAATTACGCCTGTCTATTAGCATAAGGCTTAATATACCAGGTATATCGCACCTGTCCAGGTGTTAAAAATCAGAGCTTGCCCTCGGGCATGACTAGAGACATCCAACATATTGGGTATCTATTGGGCAGTAACGCTATGAGTGTAACAAGGAGGGTTGCTTTAGGGAAGCCTTGCCGAGAGAGCAAGACGAAGGAGGTTACTAACCCGAGTTCCGTTAAATGTGCCAAGCGTGCGCGGGCGCGTCTAGAACTTAAAATCGGACAAAGCACCGAAGGCAGGCGGTCCTAGCGTTCGCTGAATACGGTCCAATGCCCCCGAATGCAGTGCTTGTAAGTAAATCAGTTATTGGATTCCGTTTAGCAACTCAATCACGTAACAGAGACGCGCGGAAGCTTAATTTTTTTATGTGAAAAGTTGCCAAGCGAGCAGACGGTTCACCTGATGTTCAGTGAATACAAAAGTCCATGGACATCGGCTACATCGGAGGGTTCCAGATGCGTTGATAGCCTTTTTAAAATTGGGCTCCGGCCACCTCACTCATCAGACGAAACGCGAAAATATTATACTTACTTTACGCCGGTCTTCTGTGAGGTCGTGGTACTTACCCGGACAAGCCTGCCCATTCGTGCAACAGCCGAGGCTGCTGCCTGACCCTACCACCGTTAAATGAAATGAAATTATGTTTATACTCTCGAATTATCGTTTTTGTTAAGACGAAACGCATAGACTATTTATTTTTATATTTCTTAAACTTATTTTTTATTAAAAACAACAACTCGTATGCATATCGTACGCATCTACCATAAGATTATCTTGTATTATAGAACACCTTGATCCACAACAATTAAACGTATAGATCATACAAATTCCCGTAAGGTCCGTGTATCGAACCTGTTACCCGCTCAGCGATTGCCAACCGCGTTCGGAGCAACCGAGCGTCGCGGCAAATTTTCAACTTGGACTCCTTCTATCGAACAATACTGTAATATAATAGAGAGATTTATAAAATCTTCCTTACTTACTTACGGCGGGTTGATTGCAAAAGAAAAAAGAATAAGTTTGATACTCGGAATTGATATTCAAAACTTTAATTACTGAAAAAAAAATCTACAGCTTCCGATGGAAAAATTAAAACAACTGATCTATCTATGCCTGGTTCCCGACGTACAATTAAATCCATTCCAAAAAATGATTGCGCAATATTTTAATTCGGTATCGCTCTCGCCACGGCCGACATCTCCCTAATCTTTATTTGTAAATCACTCATATTAATCCTTAACGTTTACTTGGTCTAGTTACACTTGAATATATGCGCGCCCTATCTTCTGTTTAACTTTTTAAGGAAATCCAAGCTTAGTTAGTGTGTGACGTACTTAACATATAAGTACTTAACATTAACATTTTTAATGTTAATGTTAAGTATGGAATAGGCTGTGGAGTTTTAGCTCTTAATGTGATAGCGGGTCGTGTGAAGATCGCTTGTGGGAGCACTTGGATAGCTCAGTGCCCGCGAATGGGTTGAGTTTATACGCTCCTTTAGCCGGTCGATGCGTTAGTGTTTTGGCCGGCAACCAAAGAGCGATCTCATGATATGCGCAAATCTCCTTATTGTATCAACAGGTCTACGTATCTGAGCTCGAATTGCCGCATTTTAGTTATACCAGAAAGTTTATAAAATGAATGCTTGAAATGGTGAAAGCAGACTTGAGTGACTGATTTTATCTATCTTACATTTCGTATGTGTAATCGTTACATATATATGAGTAATTAATTTGACTTTTTTGGACAAACTTTTACACAAAGTTTCCAAGTCTCAAACTAAGCACCGCTTGTACTATGGGTACTATAGTATTTAGATAACTGGCAAACATACTTAAACATACTTTTCCTTTGCAAATAAATGCATATTATACGTATACGTATATAAACAGAAAGACACTGGAAATTACTATTTTCCTTACATAATATAGTTCCAGTAGTTGGAATCGAACCCACGAAATATTATAGACTTATACGTTTTCCTTTAAACGCATATGTTTGTAAAGTTAGTAGTTGTATCTAATTATCTTATTTATCGAAAGTTTGCATTACGCCAATATGCTTTGTTAAATTTTTTTAAGCAATTATTATTGCACAAAAATATTGATATGTATGCATAAAATATAGGAATGATAAATGGTTAAATTTATTAAAGTATACATTGAACATATTGGATGGACGTTTGTGAGGTAATAAACTATAATTACGTTAATAGTTCCCGAATTTGAGAACACTACGCGCAAAAATTTTCAGTTAAGCTCAGTTACTAAAATAAACGAATAATATAATATCTGTGTCGGTTTAAATCTGAAGCGAGGTAAATTAGGACGGTGATTAAATGTTGAGACTTAGCACGATGGGAAACTATGAAGTCATCATCAAATTTTACGGCAACAGATAATCTAGGTGGGACGTCAAGAAATATTTGTCGCGTGACGTTACTATCAATGTGATTTAACTTTTGTTTGCACTGATAACGAGATTACACGGAGGCTTCGGAAACTGAAAATCGCGGGGAGTTTGACGCTAAATAAAACCTCTTAAGATGTTAAGCTCATGTTAAAAATCGGCTCCGCGAAGTCGAGGGCCCTCGTCACCAGGCGTCCGATGGCGAATCGCCGACCGCTAACCAGCACCGGCGTCGGTGGGAAAACTGGCGGCGGACGAGGCTGTGTGGAGATCGAGGCTTGCACAAAACTTACGGTACGCGACGCGCGGGCCACGGGTACGGGACGTGCTATGTGTCGCGCGGTCGGGCGACGACTGACGTGACGGCGGCGGGCGGCCGACTGACAGGGCCCTATGTGCACCGGCCCCACATCTGAACTTTGGGCCCGGGCGGGAACATTCGGTACCAGCGATCGCGTAGGGCCGCTCCACGGTGCACCGCCGCCGCAACCGAGCCGAGCTCGGTACACCGCGTACCCGAACGACGGGGAAAACACCGCTCTACGGAGCGGCTGCAGTTGTACTCTAGGCTACGACGAGATTATGTTTATTGGAAATTTGTTCGCACCGAGGTTGGGGATAAGAAAGTCGTGTCTGTGAACGGTCTAATTGTTTTGTGCAGTGCTTTGCACATATCTGTTCGGGGGTAGAGCGTATCAGAACGGTGTTGGTCGTAGATCGCTTAGGTAATCAGAATTCCAAATTAAATTCTTTCTATTTTAGAAACGGCTATTGAAAAATTTATAATGGTTAAAATGGGCGGTTGAATCGTTCGCACAAAGTTTTAATGAATTTCGAAAATAAAGGGACACTTCTCATTTAAATAGATGTCACACGACTTGTGCATCCAATAAAATAGAGGCTTCGGAAAAACAAGGACTTATTTATACATTTCTGTTGAACATACATTATTTTTGTAAACTTTCACACTACAATACACTACAACTAAAAGTGTGTTCTTTTCACAAGTTATTTTTAGAAACAACATATAATGTTGTTTGATAGACATTTGTTAAAAACAGGGGAAAAATAGATCCACTCATTATTATTCACTCATTAACTTGATCAAAAGAGTTGCGTTTAAAATAAAAGTAGAAAGGTCGCGCAAAAAGTATTCGCCTAGTACGTGGCTAAGGGGAGTGTAACAAAGGATTAGGGTCGTGCACCTACCGGAGATTCCCCAAGTTCTGGTCGCTTAAGTGGGTGGACAGTGCGACTCCAGTTTCATTATCGTCGTCAGCTAAGCAGCTGACCGTCCAAGTTGACGGCTAAGTGTAGTTGGGAAGTTTGGCGGCGCGGGGACATCGACAGACCGGGCTAACTTAGGCGATACGTGTCACGGGAAAATTTAAAACTTCCAAAGCCTCACACTTTCTCGCAACATTCAAAAGTGTCCAGCCGAGTTTGTGTGCAACCCGTGATCCGGGATAAGCGCCTGAATAACCAGACTGATACTGAATAATAAGAAAGTCGGATTTCCCGACGATGATCCGAATGGCGTAGTGGGTAGTGTACCTGCCTCCTGCGCCAGAGGGTGTGGGTTCGATCCCCACTACTGGAAAAATATTGTGTGATGAACATAGTGTTTTTCCAGTGTCTGGGTGTTTATACATGTATAATATGTATATATTTACAAAAGAAAAGTATGTTCAATTATGTTTATCAGTTATCTAGTACCCATAGTATAAGCGTTTCTTAGTTTGGGACTAGAGAACGTTGTGTAAAAATATGTCCTAAATTATTTAAAGTGAGTCGCGATGTATCGACTCATCGCATTCTTAGGTATTGCAAAAGTTATTTTTTGTTTCGATTCCCATTCTACATGCCGAAACAAAAGAAAATGGAAACAGCTGGAATAGAAATGAAGAAGCTAAATTTACATTTATTGCTTAAATTATAATCGCGTGCAAAATTAATTCAAAAGAAAGAAGTAATCATTTCAAAAAGAACCACGCGGGAAAGGGCTTCGAAAGATATTTCTAAGTTGTTTTGATATTAATTTGTCAGTAGATATTTAAACTATGCAAGATTCTAATGACTTGTGGTAACTTTTTTTGTGAGAACAGTAAAAAGCGAGCACGGGATTCGTTTCAATATATATATATTTGTTTATGTGAGAAGGTTGCAAGCAAGCTGGCGTTTCACCCGATGTTAATTGATAACTGCCGCCCTAGGACATTTGCAACATTCGTAGGTTTGCAGATGTGTTGCCACTTTTTAATAAAGTGCAGCCAGCTACCTCACTCACCAAACGAAACGCCGAAGTAACATATCCACTTTACGCCGGTTTTCTGTCAGGTCGTGGTACGTACCCGGGCAGACCTGCCCGTTTGTGCAACAGCGATGACTGTTGTGTGGCCACAGTAAAAAAATGTGCTGCAGTGCCTTTCTTAGATGAATATTAGGGTGAAGGTGCAAGTTATAACAATCAGATTGTGATGTTATGACAATCGAAGCTAATTTCGCCAATGCGCTAAACAGCAACCAACAACATACATTTAAACATTCGTTTAAAAAAACATTGCGAAGACTGATGGCATTATTACAGATTTCTTACATTTGTTTACGTCACGTTTTCCTAGATTTGGACTCTGCGTGCCGGGCATAGTCTTGAATTGCATTAGTTAGTCTTCAACAGTCCGCAACAAAAGCCGCTCACTCCTAACACATTTCTTAGTAAAAGGATTAGCAATGACCTTGCCACTAGAACTCTCTGCCATTAAGGAGTCAGTTGACTGTCCTTTGTACGGTTTCCCGCAGAGCAAACACACTGCATATCAAAGGTTCAGGTATTTAACTTGTCGAATTACTAAAATACATCAGTAATAAGCTAACTTTTAGCTACCTCATGCGTTAGAGGATTGGCAGATGACTTTAATTCTTTCTAGGTAACTGCAAGTTCTCCGATACAACAATTACAATCCAAATACGATAGATGACTGGAAATTGAAATACATCTGATGGTGGTAACTATTAAGACGAGCTCACTGAAGCTAAGCTAAGCTAGTTGAAAAGTGAACAGCGCCTGTTATCTCTCTCTACACCCAGTCTGCGTACACATAAGAGACGACCCGGATGGAGTAGTGGTGGTGTAACTGCCTCCTGCGCCAGAGGGTGTGGGTTCGATCCCCAGTGTCTTTCTAGTGTCTGGGTGTTTATACAAAAGAAAAGTATACTTAAGTATGTTTATCAGTGATTTAGTACCCATAGTACAAGCGGTGCTTAGTATGGGACTACAAAAAGTTGTATAAAAATGTATGTTCTGTATAAATATTTACATTTATTTGTATAGAGATATGTAATATATTTTTAGCCAAGTACTTTACGAAAATAAATTCCCACGTCACGGCCACGCCCGAAGTATCCGTCTCTAAGTAACAAAAAGTGTAGCCTATTTGAGCGAAGCAACCTCAAGGATCACTCTTTAAGTAACATTAATCGGGTTTCATAGGATCCGCGCGTCCGCTAGCTGAATCTCACAACATCTTAAACCGGCGCCCACTACCGGTTGGCTTTGAACTCTATCGACGTGTATTAGAGCCGTATTCGAGACGCGGCCCCGGCTGCAGCGCTGGAACTAAGCCTGCACGAACTTGGCGCATCGTGTGTCTCGCTGTTAAACACCTACGTAAGTAGAAGATTAATCGGAAACCGAGCAAAGAAGCGAACGAGCTGAGATCGCGCAGGATCGCGTGAAAACATACAACAGGGGTGCCTGTTCCGTACCTTGTGCAACTTCGTTGGTTCGATTAATTTTTTTCTCCAAGTTTAACACTACGACGACGTATCGTAATATGCGGACAATACGCAGCAACAATTTACGAGATCAGCTAATATTGGGGGCATAGAGTATGAAATTGGAAAAAGTTAAACGAAAAAAAAAAATGATATTATATTTGTAAGCGAAATCGCATTGATAATAAAAGGACATACATCCTATTATTATCAATACGATTTCGCCATTTCATAGGTAGTTCATAAAACGATTCAAAATTCCCTCATTATTGCGACGATTAAGTAATCTAACGCAGTACTGAATGCGTGTTTATCAATTCATGCTGCGTCCATTCCTCGATATTTTTCCAATGTGATACAATTTTAGTTCAAAATTTTTTGTCACACAAAACGAAGCCAGCCGCCAATTCTGGCGAGGTTTGCGATGAATCTGATTTCACCGTCAAATTTAATTCTTGTATGTCTACGGGGTTTGTTCTATATTTCTATTCTGTAGGTTAAATTCCAGAAAGAAAACGTTGGACCCGAAAAAGTAAGCTGTTTTCTTTTACAGTAGCTTCTCCATTTACATCATTAATCTTTCGATGTGTTTCAGCAGCGATAGTGCCACGATGGAACTCGTATTCATAAATAACGCGTTATTTTAAGTTCTCCATATTGTGAACAGGCCGATGTCAAAGAAAAATCAAATGGCGGGAAAACAAATGAATCACTGAATTCGAAACACAAATGCACACGCCTAAATTTCAAATAAATTTGAATTGAGAATTACTAGTCAAACATCAGATACAAGTGGCAAGTTCGACAAAACTCCAATTACATATGTAAGGATCTAATATTAATAATTAAGGTTAGAAATTCCGTCATTTCCTGAACGCACTGGGAAATAGATGTTAGGATTTGCCGCGTACGAATAATTGGATGCATCTAGCTTGTACGGCTAAATCTTGCAATGTTCATCGCAGCGATAAACGTACACCACCAAGTTTTAATTAATCTCTCATATGTGACGCTACTCTTACTCAAAACAAATGTTTCTTGGCGACATTGAAATCAATAGCCGAGTTTGCATATCCCCAAAAGATTTTTGACGAAGATTAGCGAAATTTCAGTTTTCTTTCCTCTGTTGTCAACTGTCGTTAGTTGCCTTGCTCAAGTCTTACGGCTGATGACGATGATGATTGTCAACTGGTTTTTCTCTTGATTGTTTCAAGTTCAAATAAGCTAGCCAAGTTTAGTTAACAACTTGCAACTTTGTAAAGTCAGTGGGCAAGCAGATTTAACTTCTGTACAAAACGTCTGCAAGCGAATCGCTCAAATTATTAGTTTAGCTAAGTTTAGTGGAAAAATGTGTCGGCAAAATGCTCGAATACGGAAAATCAATATTTACACATGCATGTTGCTCGCCATCGTCTGTCTTCGACCATTAAAGAATTACGACGGTCGAATTATCGAACGTTTTTTCCAGTCAACCGGGGCAGGAAGCTTCGCGTTGCCTAGCTACGTTTGTGCCGCCAATAGCGTTGTTCCAAGGCCGGGTGGGTCCTCTGAATAAAATTATTGGGTTAACTCCGCCGAGGACGGGGTATGTGATGCGATCTCCGATGGACTTTACGATTGGCGTATCTCTTGAAATTTTTGCCTGCTCAAAAGAAGTGAAAACATCCCTTGTTTCGGAAACTGATTGTGTTTCAATAGTCGAATTTGAGTGCTATTTATAATAGCTGTTACTAACAACGTCTTTTAATTTTTATATTGTTCGGTTAGCCCGAGCCATCTGCTTTTCATCGTGACACGGGTTGACTGGTATAGAATGCAGTTAGGCGATATGTTCGCCCATTGTGCTGTGGCCCTTATCTTGACGTGTTGCAATAAAGTTTAAATCTATATATATATATATATATATATATATATATATAATAAATAAAGTTAAATCTATATATATATATATATATATTTATATATATATATATATAGATTTAAACTTTATTGCAATACGTCAAGATAAGGGCCACAGCACAATGGGCGAACATATCGCCAAGAGATAATTAACAAGAGATAATTAACACATCACGATATCTCTGGAACCATAAGACGTAGAGAGTTGAAATTTGGTAGGAATATTCCTCTCGCCGATGGATTTTACGAAATTCCACAAAACAACGTTTGCCGGATCAGCTAGTAAATAATAAAAAAACCGACTTTAAAAAATAAAAGGTATAAAGTAACTTAACAAAGATTTAATTTAATACACCTCTAATGCAAACCTTATACCTTTAATATTAATAAAATACTATTATTTGTGGTTGCAACCTATTGATAGGTTTGAAGCCGGTGCCGAGCCAAATGTAACAGTAGGTGCTACACTCGTCGCGCGCGACTTTGACTTTGCGGGCAGATACACGAAGGGGCAGATGTAGCTGACGGTCAACTCGAAATATAGTAAAATTTTGATGATTTATAACATTTTCTATGGATTTGTAAGATTTATCTGTTGCACGAAGCTATGTAATAAGTAATTTTCATAATCGTAGTTATTTATTACTACTTAATTCTAGTGCTCGTCACCTAATACGCACACCAAATGGTATTTTCAGGGCTACAAATATATTCATATATACGAATAATACAGTTTTAATATAGCTATAGTTACTCATTAAGGTATTAATATTATGCAGCGTGTCTTTACAATCGCGACAATAAATGAACACACATATAAAGGATAACTTTTTAAAATTGTATTAAAGATTTACATTCTTTAAACATCAATATTTACAGAGTTATTAAATTTTCCAAAACAATGAATTTTAGAACACCCTTACGTATAACTTTAACGTAAAGTTCATTTGTAAAGGTCACAAATCATATGAATGGGTTGAATGAATTTTAAAGAGAAAAAACAACTCATATGAATGGGTTGAATGAATTTAAAAGAGAAAAAACATACTGTTAGAAGGAGATGCTTGTAATGCGACGCTGTGACGCGAGTTGTATAGGATGTTACAAATTTTGTTTCTTTTTTACTTAATTAATTTGTTTGAAAAAAATTTTTTTTAATTATGGATTTTTTTTACGTTAATATTTTTTTATGATAATTGGCAAGTAGCGTTAGACGTGTGTTCATTTACTGTCGCGATGGTAACGACACGCTGTATACATTTTTATCATAAAGTTTTCACCTGTTTCACATTCATTGGCATTGTTCTTTAGGTTTATTTACGTAGGTTAATTTTTAGTGTAGGAATTTCATTACAGTAAGTAAGCTGTATATAATATTAGTTTTATTTTGTTTAGGGCTTGGCACTGACTTCAAACCTATCAATAGGTATCACACACAAATAATAGTATTTTATTAATATTAAAGGTTTGCATAAGAGGTGTATAAAATTAAATCTTTCTTAAGTTATTTTATACCTTTTAGTTTTTGAAGTCCGTTTTTTAAACGTAGTTTGTTTTTAAAAGTAAGTAAAGTAAAGTATCAGCCTATACATGGTCCCACTGCTGGGCAAAGGCCTCCTCTGTACAGAGGGTTATCAGGGCATAGTCCACCACGCGGCCCCACTGCGGATTGGCGGACTTTACATATCTTCGAAATATTTTTTTTGTTATTATTTCGAAAATATGCAGGTTTCCTCACGATGTTTTCCTTCACCGCAGAGCACGTGATAATTCGGCACTTAAAATTATCAATTTCATTGGTGTCGGCACCGGGGATCGAACTCAGGTTGCTCGAGTATGTTGTTAATTAAAGGCGAGCGCCCGGACACTGAGCTATCACGGCTCAGACAGTTTGTTTTTATATTTTACTTTTTAGTGTCTGTAACAGTTAATTTGTTCTATAACTTTTGTTTTTCTAGGTAAAACTATAACATTTCGTTGCTTTTTATTGTCATATATTAAATAGTATTTCTAAGTAGCCTAGGCGGCTGACTTATTTTGAAATTTCTTTTTATTTATTTCTTCGTTCCGAGATGCCAAACGTGAT